TGGAATCGAGCACCAGCCAGGCCAGATCCATGGAGGAAGTCACCAGAGCTAGGAAGAGAACTTGCATTCAAGAATCACATGTATTGGACTACACATCTGAACCAAATTGTCCCATGTTTGTAGTACAGTGAAAATTAGGATTTCAGATAAGTAGAGAGTGGTTGAGAAGTAGGCAGTTTGGTGATCTTCCCCCACCACCAGCAAACAGTTTGATGATGACCATCAAGGTTTTTGTATAAACAACAAGATTTCACATCCTTCACATTAATCTGCTATAGCACCCCAAGAATGAGACATGGAGTGTAGTTTGTAAGACCTTCTTTGGACTCAGGCTAACTTGTAGCAGAGCAAGGATTTTAAAGTCATAATTCTAAAGAATAATCATGTTTCCGATTCATACTTTAGAGATGAGGTGTGTTACAATTGTGGTAATGAATTACTGGCCTCTGACAACTACAAATGCCTTCTTTTAGTATATAGCAAGTCAACCTGCAATAAAACACAGCAGTATATAGGGTGGAGACCAGGACATCTGCAGGGTGCGGTCAAAAAAGTCAAGATGGCAGTCACAAAGGTGCCATTGATGCTCTGCCCTTCTTTATGTGTACTGCTTTGATCTCACCATCATGGCCACCATCTTGACTGTTTTTTTACCATAATCTGCAGACATCCCGGGTGGACAATTGGCAAACTGTATGCCCCTTTTCTGTAGACCCACAATGACATTGCCATAAAGGAAGCAGGGTGATACCACGTGCAGGGGTGTCCATGGAGGGGGTAAAAAAGAAGTCCAGATGGAGGCCATAACTGTGCAACCACACTTCCACCCCTAAGCAGAAACGCTGCTGTTGTTTTGTTTCTTCTCCTGGCTGGATGACAGCTCATTTCTCCAAGTCACTAAGTTCAGGGCCATTCAAGGAGGCATCGCATAGTAACTTTCCAAGGTAGGCAGCTCGGGGCTTGCTTTTTCCCCGTTGGGATGGCATATTCCATCAGAGTAGGACTGCACGATTAAAAGGAACTTTGCAGAAGCGAGAAAAAAAAGGGTACCTTCCTGTGTGGGTGTGTAGCTTCGCCTGGCTGAACCCCCCGGGGGAAAGGCCTTGTGCAATTTCCCGCCATGGCTAAGGGTGTGCAGCGGTGCCGGGATCTGCTTGCCGGCTGTTGGGTTATTGTGCCCCCTTCCTGTACTTGGGGGAAAGGGGAAATCGCAAATCCCAGGAGCAGACGCTTTCTCACGATCGCGCTAGACGTTCACTCGCCGTGGTGCAATGAGCGGTGTCCTTTAACGGAGATATTGTTGTTGTGACTTCAAGAGCGCTGGGCCAAATGCCCCAGTGGATTGAGGGTAGTGGGAAAGGATAATCATAAAACATAACTTCCTTTTCCCTTTGGTTTCTCTTTCTGGAAAAACAAACCAATAAAGTTTTTAAAAAATCAGAAGTTGGTTGTCTCGTCCAGCTGAAGCTTTGCTTGCAAATAGGTTTCTTCTAACTGGGGTGGTGTTTGCATCAACCTTGGTTCGGAGTTAATCCATTTCCTGGATCTGCATAATATCTTGAATTATAAACGGTCCAGAAATGGTAGTAGCAGGTTCACATAATAATAATTCACCCACAAAAAATCTAGTTCAGATTGACACTCACTTGGCTTAGTGTGTTGTGTGAATACTTCTCTTAGGCCAGTGTTGTCCAAACTTGGCCACTTTAAGACGAGTGGACTTCAACGCCCAGAATTCCCCAG